CGTCGGGAGAGGACGCAGGCGAGTGCGGAGGCGGCCGCGGGAATCCCGGAGCGCCCTTGGGCCCCCACCCAATGGAGCCCCGATTTGATGCTGCTAAACTCCGAAATGTCGGCGCTTCTTTAAGGGTCCCAGCCGCCACTTGGCTGTGTGGCCTGGAGAATCAAACTCCTCTCTGACCAAGGTTCCCCTCGCGGTGTCAGGTGGGGAACCACCCATCTCAGGGTTGCTGGGCATCCATGTACAGTCGAATAGAAATGTCATGAATGCACTAGGGATGTCTGGGGTGGAGATATTTATTTAGCGCCTACTCTCTGCCAAGCACAGCGTTTGGCATCCAGCCCCTCTGTCTGGCCCTCAATTTCCATTTATGACAAATGGGGATAAAGCTATTGTCACCTGTTGGGAGGCGTGAGGTCATGGCCCATGGTGTATGTCGACCCCGGCCCCAGGCCTATTGATGTGAGTGGTCATGTGCTCATGCAGAACAGAACCCCTCTCCCGATGGGCAGCGGAGCAGTCAGCTCCTGGCACGGCAGTTGCAGGATTTCTGGAAGAAGTCCCGGAACACCCTGGTGCCCCAGCGGCTGCTCTTCGAGGTGACCAGTGCCAACGTGGTCAAGGACCCCCCTTCCAAGTACGTGGTGAGTTCGGGTCCAGGAACCCCTGGTTGTGAGTCTACATGTCTAAGACAAAGTAGGGAAGATTCCAACTTCCTGGCTGTGTAGTTGTAAGTGGCTGCCCCCATTTTACAGATGGAGAAACTGAGGGCAGAATGGGGATGTAACTTGAGCAAGTTACATCCCCATTGACAGCTTGAGACTGAGTAAAAAAGGATTGTGGGCCTGTCTCCTCTCCTCGTTATGAAAATAAGAGAACTGGTGTGTGTGCCCCTACGCACACCCCCGCACCCCCAAGGTTTTGCAAAATGTAGCAAGATGCAAGGTACAGAGGAAAGAATATTATGTGGATCAGGTTTGAGACTCAAGTGGCATTGGCTAGTGTTTGTTGTTTTTTTTAATGGGTTTTGGATGCAGAACTTGATTTAAGTCCCAGTTGTTTGACCTTGGGTGAGTTGTGTAACCTTGATGACCTTTTCCTCATCTGAGTAATGGGAATAATGCCAAGAACAGTCACAGGAATTAAATGGGAAGTGCACAGAAAGCCCTTAGCCCTGTGCCTGGCATTATGAAGTGCTCAAAGAAAATGTATAATAAAATAAAAAATTAGCTCCCTTATTATTACTTACTTTTGGATTGAAAATGCCTGGCATCTAGGGCCTGTTGTGGCCTCCTTACAACCCAGGTCAGTCAGTTCTCAAGCACCCATCCTGTACAGAATAGTCTTGTTGTAAGGGCTCCATTTAGGGGGGTTTAGTGAAGAGCAATGTGGGGGAGAATCTGGAGTCCCTGTTTCTTCTCTGTGGAAAGGAGAAACTGACATAGAAAGTGAGGCCTGCCAAGTCTTCTCTCGGCCAGCCTGAAACCCAGTCTGACCTGGCTGGTCCTGGCCACAGCAGCTCCCTTCCTCTCACTTCCCTCCTCCTCACCA